TCGAATGTATCGAAGTGGGTGAAGCCTCTTTTCCGCGACACTAATTGGCCGTCTCGACCGTCTCGATTGTCTCGATCCCGTCGCAGTTGAATTCGTACCGCTTACAGCTGTCAGCCGCGGTGACAGATCAGGTTGTGTTGTTAGCGCCATATGAATTTGATATTTATTGTAATCCCAGCAAACACAATGTTACATGTAACATACATATATATATATATATATATATATATATAGTTATATATATATTATTATTATTATATATATAGTTATATAGTATATGTAAATATATGTAAATTACGACGAGATTTAGATAATCTCTCTTTTAGATAGTTCTTATATTTACGAAAAAAGAAATTTGTATTTATCTAGACCTGGTTTTTTATCCATTTAGCCTTGGATTTTTATTATCTTCAAATTTTTTCAACGGGAAGAATTCATTAGGACTAAAAGATGGATTATATGTGTGCACACGTTTACGGAAAAAAATTTTTTCTCGAAGATAAATATTTATAAACAGAAAAAATACCATAGTTGTAGCTTGGCTAGAATGTACTTATAATGGCGAAAATTTTCTAGAAAGTATAGGAAATTCAAAGAAAAAGAAATAAAACTATACGCAGAACTAATTTTTCCAAGAATTTTTCATAGTTTCCAAACGTGCCTGGGAAAGAAATACCTGTATTGTGTGTGAATACATTTTTCCTATACATCGTGCAGTTAGCTTACAACTAAAATGTCTAAACCAAAAAGTTTCACAAAAAGTTTGGGAAGGTATCGTTAGATCTTTTCCGAAATGGCAAAAATTTTCTAGAAAGTATAGGAAATTCAAAGAAAAAGAAATAAAACTGTACGCAGAACTAATTTTTCCAAGAATTTTTCATAGTTTCCAAACGTGCCTGGGAAAGAAATACCTGTATTGTGTGAATACATTTTTCCTATACATCGAGCAGTTAGCTTGCAACTAAAATATCTAAACCAAAAAGTTTCCCAAAAGTTTGGGAAGATATCGTTAGATCTTTTCCGAAATTTCTGAGAAGATATCGTTAGCTTTTTCTTTTAATATGTTATAATTAGTTATTTTAATATATTATAATTTAATATGTTATAATTAGTTTCCTTTTAAGGTTTGCAACTTTTGCCGTAGCATTTGTTCACAAATTCTAATATACGTTTTTTGATATTAACATATATTTAAAGAAGATAACAAAATGAAATTAATATATTTTTTCAGAAGCATTTCCACACAGCATAAATCTTCAAAAGACATTCTAAACACTTTTTAACCTTTAATTCATATATTCTAAGAACGTTTCAGTACATTCTCTGAAGATTTTGTTCACTGCATTGAAAAATATATATATATATATATATATATTTTTTTTTTACACATATATATATATATATATATATATATATACATATATATGGAATACTTCCGTTATTCCATATATTTCTATTGCCTTTTCTAGAGAAAACGAAATTATTTCGATCAGAATCAATTCCGAAGAATTTCATAACATGTGCTCTGGTCATATTACTCTCACAGACATGCGTTCGAAAACTCGAATATGCGCATGGCGTGCGTTCGAAAACTCCATCCGAGTGTTTCTCCTCTCTCTTTATCTTACTCCTGTATCTTTCTGGCTCTAACGCAGCGAGTGCACCCGGATAGTTTTCGAACGCAAGCCAGCGAGCTTAAGTCAGTGACCTTCAGAAGTCAAAAGGCTTCTTTTTAGCCAATCAGAAGATTTCTTTCTAGCCAATTAGAAGGCACTTTCGTAAACTTTGGGTTTGTGAGTCCCTTAGCAAAGATGTAAAGCTTCAGTTCGTTTGTGCTCGCCCGAGAAGAAGCAAGTGCAATTTTCTCTTCATTTGTGTGTGATATTTCGTGTACAAACTACAAACATTTTTGACACATATTTAGGATTCATTTCGACTCTGGGATATTTCCGTTGTCAAATGGAATAGGAAGACGTAAGTAATTTGTTTTATTAAAAATAACTGTTATTATAATAAAAGAAAAACCATAACTTCTGTCTTTTATGTTAAATTATATAGTATTATTATTTTTTTTATTACATGTAAAAATTGATTTTTGTAAGAATGAAATTGAAAATTGTTCAACAAATGCAGTATACGCATAAAATATTGTAAACTTTGTTATCTAAAATTAGCTATATTGACTTCTTGCTTTTTTCTATTAATATTTAAATATTGAATTCCAAATTTGTTTTAAATAATTGCAATATTAAACTGTAAAATTCTATCTTTGTTAATTTTTGAATTTTTGTATTTGCAAAAATAAGAATTTTTTTTTAAAGTTGCTTCCTCTATTAAGATAAAACATTATTTTTTATATATAAAATATCGCTTTAAAAAAGTAATAATTGCAGCAAATTTCAAATCTCGTATGTATATATACAGGGTGTCCCGCGTAAGACGAACCAAAAGAAAAATATAAGTAGAACACATAAAAGTGAACAAAAATTATATAGGCCATTTTTCAAATAACCACGTAAAATTTCGAGATATTAATTAAAATAGTTGAGCATAAGAGAGCGCGGCGACACGGCAGGCGGGACATTCGGCTCGCCGCGGCTGGAGAAGAAAATGGATGATTGCTCGCGGACCTACCTTACAGGTGGGCCGTTTGGCATACTGAAATGTGTAGCTCCGTGTGTGCGTCCGTGTACGTGTGCGTTATTCCATTTTCTTCGCCGACCACTGCGAACCGTATGTCCCGCCGGTCGCATCATGCGTTCTAATTTGTCCAACTATTTTAAATAATATCTCGAAATTTTACGTGGTTGTTTGAAAAATGACCTATACAATTTTTGTTCACTTTTATGTGTTCTACTTATTTTTCTTTTGGTTTGCTTACGCGGGACACCCTACATATATATATATATATATATATATATATATATATATATATATATATATATATATATATATATATA